AACCAACCCTGGGTCGTTCAAATCCTGTATAATCGAAAACGCTATTACTGTTCGCTGATGAGATCATCATGCTCCCCCTTTCTTTCATCGTCCCTCGCCTACAACCGGTTTTACTGAGGTAACCTTCTAGGTGTAAATTCATGGGACCACGGACTAAGGAATAGAGGGACTGAGTCTAAAGTCCTAGTTTAGGCGAGAAGAGATGGTAATTCAAGCGTGTGGGGGGGGGACTGCTTTCCGCCATATTGATGTAGCGATTCTCACACAGAGATTCTGTGTCTGTGACATGGTTACACTTGTGTAGTGGTGCCACTAGACATAACGAGTGACAAGCGTAAAGAGATTAGGCGGTTTTATTATTGTTGTACTATAAATTTTATAAAATACTTTAACTTTTATTACTCTGAGGCTCTGCATACAGTAGACAAAATATTAGAAATAGCAATAATCATATAATATTAAAAAGAGAAATTATTTTACATCTAACAAGAGAATAAAATATATTAATTAGTTCCAATTCTTATTTCTTAATTCATGCATTAATTTTTTCCATTTTTTTTATTTTGTAAATAAATAATTCCAATTTCTTATTTCTAATATTTAATAATTATTCCTATTTCTATTTCCTATTTTGTTTATTATGCGCAGGATCTGACTTTCATTTCTCACACATACGCAAATAGTGAGTTCTATGTGTGGTGATTACTAAACGAATATGGCGGCCCCCCCCGCCGCAAACGTGCTCCCCCGGTACAGCTTGTGCTCCGTCCCCATTGAGTAAAAAGAAACAGGAGGAAGCGTTTATGGCTGGTTTATGCTTCGGTCTTAATCTTAATCTTAGGGCGGTATTCATAGTACGTTCTTATATTCAAGATCGTCTTAAATACGGACTTATATTCGCTCTCTTCGTCACACATAGATTGTGTCTGACAAAGAGAGCGAATATAAGTCTGTACTTAAGACAATCTTGAATATAAGAACGGACTATGAATACCGGCCTTAGTCTTAGTCTTAACTTAATCTTAAGGACTCGTTTATGCTTCCCTGGAAATTCGGACTACGCATGTGCAAATGTAACAAAACCTAACCACTAATTTATTTTTATAATTTGGATTTTTTATTCCAAACAACATCGAATTGTTGGACACATTCAATTAAATCAGCATCACTCATTTTCGTATTTTACAAAATCGAAAACCATTATTTCGCGCGGTTTCGTGCTGCGTCGGACGTCAGACTTACCTCATTGGCCCGGCCTTAGGACATTAGGGACTAAAGTTAAAAGATGGGATCTTTCCAAGATTAAGATTAAGACTAAGATTAAGACTAGGGAAGTATAAACGCCCTTATGGCATTCTACGTTATCAACTCTTAAGATTAAGATTAAGACCGAAGCATAAACCGGCCATTAGTCTTAAAAGTGCGGACGGAAGTGACTATATAAAATGGTCGCTCAAGATGGCCGCTCAAGGGCGCCAATATTGAATGACTTGTTATGTTTAATTAGGAAATAATGTACAATTAAAAGAAAATAACTATAATATGCAACAATAATACCAAATTTTAATGGCATTTTTCATTAGAATTGCGCTCGTGCAGTATTTCCATAAGAGCAATGTTAAAATCTAAAATCTAAATTTATATTAAATCCTTTGTCCTTACAAAAATTTATCCATGCATTTCTTTGATCCGGATTTTTCGGAAACTTGTTTGTGAGTGAAAATTATTTAGTAATTATTGTGAATCTACAATTTCACAATACTATACATATGATTATAATCTCCAAAATAAAAATCTCATTATTGTTG